CACAGCAGAGTAAAGGAACATTGTACACCCCCTTACTCTCCTGCCTGGATGTAAAGGGCAGGTCACAATTTGGTCCTGTACAAGTACTCACATTCAGCAGAAAGCCCATAAATCTCTCCATTGTCTCGGTCTTGGGCCTCACAGCCCCAAGATCCCTAATTTATCTGAACAAATGTCTCTCAATTTTTTGTATTAAGTTAGCAACTATGTACAGAGTCCAGCACAAACAGCTGGAAGGCACTTCTATAGCAGGGGCCTGATGGCATATAGAAGTTGCTTCTCCACCTTTTTCTATAAATGGAGTCTGTTTAGTTTGGGGTGCTATTCCTCCTCAAAATCCTCACTCACCGATTCTCTGCAAAGTGGTATGATCATGGTGGATGGGAGCCAGTTATGAATGGGGGAGGGTGAATATTTGCTTTTCAGGCTTACTCAAAAGTGCTAAAGCTGGCTTTGCTCAGAGGTCTTCTGCTCTAAGACCAAGTGTAGTGAAAATGTCTAATACATACAGAGTCTCCATGGAGACACTTGTACAAGTGGCTAGGTGATGTACTCATTTAAACAAGATATGGGCCAGGGTGTAATCTCAGGTACATCAACGTAAATCCAGGGTAAAGCAGCTGAAGTGAATGGATTTACTCTGCAGTAGATGTGACCTGAATTTGGCCCACAAACTCGACAAGTTAACTATTTGGAGGGAATGAATGTGTTTTTCCCATAATATCAATTCTTTTATTCTAGACATCATTTTAGTCTGATTTCTTTAATACTGTTTTTAAAAGATATCATAGGCCAGAGCCTATTTAAAGCTGCATAGTTCCATTAACTTCAGTTGAGCTATGCCAACTCATATCAGCTGAGAATGTGACCCAATGATTCACAAAAGGATTTTTTTAGTGTGCAAACTAAAGGTGGTATTTTTGTACCAAAGACAAATATATACTTTTAATTAAAATACACGTTCTTATAGGTTTGAACAAAAGGAACAATAGCAAACTAGAACTTGAACAAAAGGGATCACTCCAGATAAGTGTCACAAACATAACTGCATCGTCTGTTTTACCAGCACTACACCAGAGGAAAAAAATGAGCATAGTGAATGGACTAAAAGTGTAATTCTTCGTTCTCTTTGCTGCAGCAAAGGATGAATTACAAAAGGTACAAGACCATGGAACAATATAATTACTTCCTTTATGACTACATTCAGTTCTGATTATGTACATGTATTTTTCAAAGTCCTCTACCCTTTTAAACTACAGCACTGTTGTTTTTTTCTATAGTTGCTAATAAGAAAACCTTTAGCTCAAAATTGATGTGAGCAAGGGGTGTCTTTGTGTCTGAGCACTTCCTGTTTTCATTCCATGATCAAATATGTTCTTTGCAGGGCAAATAGGGGAGCACTTGAGGGAGGAAAGCGAGATGTCTGAGAGGCTAATTGAGTGTACTAAGGGCTCCTTGGCATGGAGGAAAAGGAGTTTTCCGAGGCTATGAATAAACTCTCGGCTTGGGTCAGATTCTTGCTGTTTCTTTTCTTTAACTATCTTTGAAGTCAAATAAAAACAGCCTTAATGTCAGGTTTACCTTTCTGATATCATAATCTTTATGTACTATTGAAAAGCTTATACTACCACACTAGGATTTCCTTTACTTTCTCAAACACTGGACATTATCCAGAAAAAGCATAGACATTTCCAACCAATTTATCCTCAGATCTTTTCATCTTCCTGGCCCGTTGTAATTCCAGATCCCAATAACTGAACAGGGAAATGACAGAAATTTCTATTCCTTGCATTTTATTTCTATCAACAAAAACATGTGTGTGTTTCTTATTCCTAATATAATTAAAATTACTGCAAAGTGGAAAAGGTGACAAAGGATGAAGACAATTTTGAAAGCCAGAGTCTGTGGGATACATTAATTCTACACCTGTCTCTTTTCAAAAAGTCACTCAAGCTTATATAAAGAAGCTACTCAATTTTTAAATTAGGTTATCTTAGGGGATTGTAAAATAACTGAATATTTCATAAAGAAAAAAGGTAGCATTTTCTTTAAAGAAAGGTAATAAATGAATACAGTTAGTTAGAACTGAATTACTCTCCCACTAAATTTGACAGTCTAAAGGAATCTGTGAGCTTAGTCAATGCTGTAAGAGATAGACTGGAGTTGCTTCTTCTTCCAGGAAAACCAGAGGTTAATGATTTTTGTCATATTGAGACTAACAGCTAACAATTGCTACAGTTGGCCTTTAGTTTTTTATTTGTCCTTTTGAGGTATTCAGACTAGGTGACAATGGCTTGCAGTTGAGAACATATGTAGAGAGACCCCTGTGGTTTATGGAAAAAGTTGCTCCATGCTGGTTGGGTGTTTGAAAAAAAAATACAACCAGAGTTCTTTTATGTTCCTTTCCTTAATGAATGCATGAATGTCAAAATGCACCAATGGCCCATTCAAGGGGCAAAGCCTAAGCAGCCCCTTCTTTAAGAACACATCCTGAGATGTAAAATACATTTGCTTAACAAATTAAAATAATGAGATAATTCAATTAGTTTCTTTAAAAAAAAAAAGAAAGAAAAAAGGGTACATCAGGGGATTATTGTAATACAAGAACAGGTCATACAGCACAAAAGAGGGACAAACCAATTTGAAATAAGGTTAGAGTAGTAATGAAGGAATGTATATTGAATCATGGACTCCTTTTGTAAATAAATTTACTTGAAACAATAATTTATACATCATAGATTCCCTTTGCGATAGAGCTGGCATTGCACTTTGAATGGACAAGCTAATCTGAGAAAAAGTGAAGGATATTTAGAAGAAAGACTTCTCTTCCTTCGCTGCATGCATTTATGGCAAAAATCTTTCTGAATTTACATTGCACTAGTCAGGGGTCTCCATTATCAGTTCTCAGGTCTGAGAATTACAGCACAGTAAATCTTTCAGCACATGCAAACTCATTAAAGCCTGGAAGGTAAAAGGTTTTTGTTTTTGGGTGGGTTTTTTTTTTTTCCAGGAACATCCTCATCAAAGCTGCTGAACTTCCTCAATTCATCTGGGGCGAAGGAGTTGGCGGAGAATGGAGGGGGTGGATTTCCAAAAGGCAAAACCGTGAGGCTTTTTCTCAAGATAAGCGAGAGATAGCTGATTGTTTAGTAAGCATGTGTTGAATGCTTTCAATGCACACACAAGAAAGAAAGGAAGCAGGGGTAAAAAAAATAAGAAATTGCAAACTTTGGTAAGAGTTAAGGAAATGAACATGCAAGCTTGTGTGAAAGAAAATGGATTATTTGTGGCCCGTGGTTTTAGCTGTTTCCCCTTGCTGTTCCTGTAGCCATACTCTCCAGCTAAAAATGAAACCCCCTCCCTTCACACTCACTCGAATTCCAAATTAAAAACATTTTACAGGTTAGTAAATCTCCAGCTGAGGTGATGTAGCAAAGAACAGCTGTGAAGTAATTTTGATAATGATGAGAATAATAAGCACATGGCAAGGTTCAGGGCTTTGCTGTTGCAGCTTCAGTGCTCCTGAATAGATAAAAGTGATTAAATACTCCTGATTATCCCTGACCAATATGTAATGGATTTACAGCCCTTTCAATTAGTCAGTATTTGCTTAGGACTCATTATTTTGTCTTTGGTTAAGTAATCAGCCCAGAGACTCATGTTCTGTCTAATTCCTCTGAGCCAAGTGGGTACAGGGCACCTGACCTTTGAAATGGCCATAGCTGGAAGGCAAGAATAACCACTACTCCAGCAGAGACACTGGCTATTCTAGCTAATCCTGACCCCACAGGCCAGATCAATGCACCTTAGTTTGCTACTAATGTCCTTACATCAAAATGATGGTTTAGAAATGTGGATCTATTCCACACACACACCCCCGATCCCCATTAGCTGTTCTACCAGCAGAGCAGTTCAATAGTCACTACCATAAATAAAAGGGGTACCTTGTCCTGGAATCAAGACACTGTAACTAATGTCAACCACTATGGAAATGTATAACTTTGGTAGTCACAAAGAACCCCTTATGTGAGGTAGTTAACCATGCTATTATCTTTTTAACCATTAGGCCAAACAGAATAGTTGGAAACAATTTTATAGGAAGGGGTGAAAAAAAATCAATAATAATCATCATCATCAACGATAATTTTACCATTTTCTAGCATTTTCATCTGAATAGTAAACTATAGGAGAGTTATCAGTTCTTCTGTAAAAATGTATTTTGATGTTTAAGTGAAGCTGTAATAGTCAACAGAACACCAACACATAAAACCAGTTGCAAACAGGAGGATAAAGATAGATTGTTACCAAAAGTATTGCTTTTTCACATAATTAATCTCTTTCCCCCAGAAGAGAATAGGCCTAGCTTTTAAGATATTGGACTTGAAGAACAGCTAAAAAAGGTGTTTTAATCTCTGTTTTACAGAACTGAGGAATTAGAGAACCTATAAGCCATCTATACTTCTCATGTAAACTAACACATGACAAGTTTGCAAGCTGCTTCATGACTTCTCTAGCATCCTGCAATGTTTGTTGAAATACCTGCATTGGGGAGTATTACGGTACTTTCCTTCTAATACATATGCGGTTTGTTGTAAACAGAGGCCAACAATAACCCAATCCAGAGGGTAGAGATACTCAACTCCCTTATTAGTGTCCTCGTATATATACTATATTCTAAATGTAGAAACTCCTTTTCATCTTAAGAACATTTTGAACAGTTCTCATTACTGGAATGCAAACCAAAAATGGCTGCCTTCTACCCTAGTGTTGTTTCATGCTAATATCTTATGATGTATATTCAACTTGTCATGATTCCAAGACTGAAATAAAAAAATAAATAAATAAATACGCTTCTAGAAAAAATAAAAGTGATCATTGATCCCTACTGTCTTCCAAAAAATTATGGGGACAATTGATTTCTAATAATAATGAATAAACCTCATCAGGCATGTGAACAAAAATCTATTTTTTATGTTTTTATTATTTTGGTCTCCACTTACTGTGAGATGCTGGAAAAGCCACGCTCTCATGATATTTGTTGCTACTTTGGGGAAAATGCCTCTTTTCTTCTGACGTTTTTTGTCCTTGTCTGGATCATCATCGTCCCCTGTACCAGGTGAGGCTACGCTGTTGTCTAACCCATCCCCTAAAAGAAAGAACAAAATAAGTGGAAGGAGACATAATAAACAAAAGATATAAACTAAAAGGTATCGTTAATTATTGGGAAACTAATGCAGCCTTATTTTGATTTGATAGAACATCAGGCACATGCATTTTCTCATTAAATATGATTGCTGATACAAATATGTAAAAATTAGAAACCATGTCTCTCCAAATACTAATTTTGTGTCTCACACATGCACATATCATTAATTCAATTATAATTGTGTGCTTGACATAGTGCAATAGCTCTTTGTCAATTACAGGATTCAATGTGGGAAAACCTGCCACAAGAAAACCCATTCACTGTAAACGCATGCCTACAACCCTACTGAATACATACTGCATGTATTCAACTTAGATGTTCTGTAGTCTATATATTCTAGGCCTTCTGCATAGGTGACAGTAACTGTGTCACTGTTCAGTGCCATAACACACTGTCAGATCAGCCCCCTCCCATAACTATCATCTCCCTACACACACACACCGTATATGATCCTGCACATAGCATTTGCATGACATGAAAACTTCTACATCTCTGCATCAGTGATCATTATCATTAAAAAAAAATGCACATCAAGGTAGGGTGCTCACTTAATCAGAACTTTCCATCAACATCTTTCTCTTCTGTGCTTTTCCCTGGCATTAATTGTGCATTAGCAAAAATCATTTACTTTTAACAGTCATAGTTATTTTTTCTTGCCCTCCAGCAAAAATGCCTTGAAAGCTTGCCTGGAGGGCATCTAAATTATGTATCTGAAAAACTCTTCTGGCAAGGCATTGCAGGACCCCTACTTTCTTAAAATTCATACGAGCACGTCTTCCTGTTTTTGGGAAGGCATCAATCAAGAGCAGCAATATATGCCATATTCCTACATTAATATTTGAACTAATAACTTTTAAAAAAGGAAAGAAACAAGATCCGACTTGTGGCATAATCAAATGCAAAATAAATGAAGAATACTGGGACAGCACTGAGACTTTATAGATTGCTATGTTTTCCTTACACATCATTAGCCTGGAGCCACACGAAAGAGGAAAACAGAGAAGTGGAGAGTTTATGCTCCCTGCTGGTGTTTAAGAAGCCGAGGTCCTGGAAGGACATCTGGGAATTGCGCTGAGACGGTGGTTTTTGTAATTTAAGAATAGACATTCATTAGCAGTAAATGCCATAAATCCCATGCTAAGTAAAAACCTTGTCCAAGAAAGCCTAAAACAATAAACTCTGTGCTCAATGTAGCCTGAGCTAGACGCTCCATAGCTTCCTGAGGAATGCTATAGATCCACGAGCTAATTCCTATAGCCTCTTCTAGCTCTTTAGTGCTACTAAAACAAATACATTACTGCTACATATAGACCATTTACTTCCAAACTTTTATTTCAGCTTCATCTATTTCCCTTGTGTCCACTCACCCTTCTTCCACCACCTCCCCTTGCAAAAAAAACCCCACAACCCTCCTGGACCGAGAAATGGAAAAGCCACAGCAAAGAGCTGGCAGATTAATTTTATTGACATTTCCATTTTCACTGCAATGTGATACCCTCCATCACATGGAAGAGATGACCCTCACTATTTACAGACTGACAGGCCACTTCATTACAACCACCCTGCCCCAAGGCAGAGCAGCTCCCTTCCATCTGCCCAAACACCAGAGCAAGACCCCGAAGTCGCTGCTCTCTTTTTTGTTGGCTTCTGTTCATGATAAATAAAGGTGAGTCAAATGGGTGCAAAAATAATCAAAAGAAATGATGCCTGGGCCTATACAGTGTCATAAACCAATTACTTTTGAGAAATGTTGGTTATTCAGAATGATCTCCTTCCTACCAGGCTGTCCCCATGTTTCCCACCCCTACCCATACCCCTCGTGTGCGTGTACGTACACACACACACACACACCCTTTCCACATGCCAAGGAACTGCTGCAAGGCAAATTCTCACAAACACTAATGCCTTCTGACTGCTCCTTGGCAACCCCAGCATTTTAACCTGGGTGGATGTGCTCTCCAAAATACAGACACTGGAGCTATCTCATCAGCTGTTCATGTGACACAGATGGAGAGTGGCTATTAGGAGCCAGGCAATGGGCCTTGGGGATCTGAGGTGCTGTACTGTAGCCTCAGGCGGTTTTGAAAAGCAGTACCCGGAGATGCGGGGGGGGGGG